AGTACTACAACTAAATTATCTCTGACAGATTGATATATTTTCTGCATTTATAGCTCTCTGGAGAGAGATTCTATATATTTAACAATTCTCACTGTGAGGGATATTTTAAGTATTTCAAATTTAAAGTGCTCGTGTTTCAGATTCAGATTATTATTATATCATCAACATTATTTTGGTTCTGGCTTCAGTAAAAAGGTGAAAAACATTTTTCCATCTTCTGGTAATATTTCATATTTATAAAATTATTATTAAGTTATACCTCAGCTTTTTTCATTTATGTTTTAAATCCTTTTATTATCTCATCATGATCATCTTTGACTGTTTATCAGAAATGGTTCTCTTTTGCACATTGACTACTATTTTATAGATCATATACAAGTTAATATAAATCATGCCTGTAAATTTCAGCCTGCTTATTTTTTATCATCTAGTCAGATATCAGCTAGATATATTGTTACCAAGTTTGGAGAGCCTTGGGATAAGCTAGTTTCAAAACTGGCTGTTAGCATCCCTCAGTTGTGTTTTAGGAGCTGAGGACACCCTTAAAAAAGGGAGGCAGTTATATTTCATGAGCATTAAAAATAAACTTAAATTCTCATCAAATTAGTGAATATGTTTGGAACAGTGTGAATTACGTATGTGCTACATGAAGTATACAGAATTCATTTGAAGTATGAAGTCTGGCCTTACCTCAAAAGGCAGTCATTCAATTAAGCAGTTAAACATGAGCCACTGTAAGAAGTTTGTTTGATACTTAGAGAGGGAAAGGCAATGTGTATTAAAATTCCACGACCATTATCTCAGGAGTGTAGTGTTATTATTGGCTGGGGGCCTGCTGGAAAGCTAGAAATGTATCTAAAATGTGGCAGGTGGTTAATTAGGGCATATGATTACATATATAAATTTGTTAAAGCGTTCACTTATGGTAAACTATACCTCAATTAAAAAAATATGCACAAAGAAAATAAATAATGACTGGAAATATGAGCCTCTAAAATCAAAGTTACAATAGCAGATATTCAAATTTGCAGAGCTGATTGTCAACCAGACTGATTGCAATAGAATCAAGTCTCACTAGCTCATTGGAAGTAGGATTTGTTAAGGAAATGACGGTTAATGAATTTTCAGCATAATAACAGCCCAGTTAATGTGTAGGTGCAAGTGTGTATCCATTGGTGTATGTTTTTACATGCATATTTTTATTGTAAAATTAATATGTTTATTGAAAACAAGAAAGAACAGAAAATATGAAATTAAGAAAAGATGAACATAATTAAGTTCAAAATTATATTCAACAATGCATTATTTCAAATTTTTTTATCTTAATCCATTTGCTTGAAAGCATTGATATATGCTCCAAATTTCCTCCCAGATTCCACTTGGGGAAATATTTAGTATATTGGATTATGAAATAATTTATCTGTATCTATATTATTAGTAAAGTTCTTAAAATTTACAGTCTGTTACTGTCTATGTGATTAATGATGTTGTTCACATGATTAAAATCCAAAGATAAAATATGATTATATTTTAGGGGTGAAAGTTAGGAAGCAAAATAGCATATTAATACATTTAACTAAAGTATTCATTTGGATAATCAAAGTCAAATACTTCAAAAATAATAATTTTAAAGTGAGTACTTTCAAAAAATAAATTAGTGAAAATGATTTACTTTGTTTCTTAAAAAGAATTATTGAAAAAAATTCTACCATCAACAAATAGTTGTTCTATGCCTAGTTTGTTTTTATCACTGAATAAGACTGAGCCCTTGACCTCAAATTTTTTCCTGCATCACCATTCGCTGTTAGGTTTACCTATACAAACCTTTATTTATTCAACATATATAAAATAATTAGTATGCAGTAGATGTTATTCTAAGTACTTGGTAGATACGAACAAATTTAATAATCAAAACAACTCTAAGAGGTAATTAGTACTATTATCTCCATTGTATTACTCAGGAAACCAAAGCACAAAGAGAGAGAGAAAATAAAGAGAAAGAAAGAAAGAAGAAAAAGGAAGAAATACAAGGACAGAAAGAAAGAAAGAAAGAAAGAAAGAAAGAAAGAAAGAAAGAAAGAAAGAAAGAAAGAAAGAAAGAAAGAAAGAGAAGAAAGAAAGAAAGAAAGAAAGAAAGAAAGAAAGAAAGAAAGAAAGAAAGAAAGAAAGAGAGAAAGAAAAGAAAAGAAAGAGAGAAAGAAAGAAAAGAAAGAAAGAAAGAAAGAGAGAGAAAGAAGAAGGAAGGAAGGAAGGAAGGAAGGAAGGAAGGAAGGGAGGGAAATGAAAAAAGAAAAAAGGAAGGAAGGACGGAAAAGAAGCACATAGAAAGTGGTATGTAACCTGCCATTTCAATCTATACCTTTGCCTCCTGTGCTTCTATACCTCCTGAGTTTAATATATACTTCTTTATTTATACAGTTTTAATATATAAATGCTAATCTTTCTTTGATATAATTTTATCATAGATAAAATTAGCTTGCTTTCAAAATATTCTGGTACATAATTTTATAAGTTCACCTCTAGATCATGAGTAACCCTCAACCTACCATCTCCTCTTTTTGGACATGTTTGGTATTTGTATCCCTCTGTTTCTTGGTCTCTAAATATCTCTTCTTTTATTCAAGTGTTACCTTTCCTACAACAGAACCCTTTTCTTAAAAAGAAAGAATTATGAGTTAGTGTAATGTATAAAATAGAGACATTAGATGAAGAAGGACAAAATGAATATTCTCCGAAAAGTTATTTGAGGTGGCTTAGTGAAGTTGAAAAAGCATAGTTGTTGGTATCACATAGAAATAAATGTACCTTTGGGAAAATCTATAAACCTCCCTAAACTAGCTTTTACAAACAAAATTGTGTCCATTATAGGAATTGAAGCTAACAATTTCACAAAATCAAGGGCAGTAAATTGATGGACCTCAGAATCTAAGGCACGGGTCGGAGGAAACCAAAGCACAAAGAGAGAGACAGAAAGAGAGAGAGAGAGAGAAAGGAAAAAGAAAGAAAAGAAGCAGAGGAGAGGGAAAGGGAGGGGAAGGGAGGGGAGGAGAGGGGAGGGGAGGGAAGGGAAGGGAAAGGAAGGGAAAGGAAGGGAAAGGAAGAGAGAAAGGAGGGAGGGAGGCAAGAAACGAAGGAATGATTAGAGGAAACTCAGAGGTTATTCTCTCCGTATCTCTAGTTTCCATTTTATTGATTCTGCTTTCTCCAGACAGGCTTCCTTTGTATATTATCTTGCATGATAAAGTGCAGAGAGCTCCCTCAGAGAAATGCAGTTAAAAAGCCGATAGATACCACCATACACCTAAAAGAACTGTGAACAGATGACAGAAAAACAAAACAAAGCAAAACAGAACCTGAGAATTTGAATTGCTGGTGAGGATATTGAGCAAGTGGAACTCCTATACTTTGCTGGAAGGAATGGAAAGTGGTACAGGAAATTTGGAAAAGAGTTTGACTGTTGTATATAAAATTAAATACATACTTACGTTACAAACTAGGAATCTCATTCCTAGATGTCTTCCTAAGAAAATTACAAACATTATGTTCATACAATGACTTATACACTAATGTTCACAGTAGCTTTTTTCATAATAACCCCAAACAAAAACCAATGTAAACATTCACCTACAGGTGAATGGATAAATAGAAATAAATCTATGCAATAATACATATTACTCAACAATGAAAAGGAAATCACTACTGATATGTGAAACACAGTGGACTGAGTAATGCCCTCCCTTCTTTGCAAAGATGTCCATGTCTTAATCCCTAGAACCTGCGATGTTACCTTATCTGGAAAATTAAAAGTTGTAGATGTGATTAATGATTTTTAGCTGGGTACATCATCCTGGATTATCTGGGTGGGCCTGATGTAATCACAGGGGTTCTTATAAGAGGGAGGCAGGAAATCAGAGAGACGAAAAAGGTGTGGAGAAATATGTGACAACAGAAACAATGATAACAATGATTAAAATGACACAACCAGGAGCCAAGGAATGCTACAAGCATCTGAAATCTGAAGGGAGCAAGTAATGGATACTCCCCTGGAGCCTCCAGAAGAAACCAGCCTCCTGACACCTTGATTTCAGCAAAAGTATTTTAAATTTCTCACCTAGAACTGTAAAAATATATATATAAATAAATTTGTGTTGTTTTATGCCAGTAATTTTGTGATATTTTGTTACAACAGCAATAGGAAATTAATATATCCAATAATGCAGATGAATCTCCAAAGCATCATGCTAAGTGAAAGAGAACTTGTTGCTGGATAAAATGAAATTGCGTGTTGTATTTTGCATATGCACATAGAAGTACTCATTCCGACAAAATCGAATCCAAGTTAAAAAGTAAAATATCCACCATATTTTTCCCCCCTCAACTACGATTATCCCTGCCTTCTACTTTTATTTTAAACTTCATTTCCAAAATTTATGTACTAATTTTTCATTCTGCAGTTAAATGTTGTATTGAATCTCGTAGTAAGAGAATGTCACCTATATTTGAGATTTATTTTATTCTCTTTCCCTCTTTCTGCTCAGATTTTACATCTTTAAACATCTTTCTTCTCTAGTAATTTGTTACCCCATTGGCCTAGTATGATTTTTCAGTTTGCTAATGCACAAAGAAAACCCATTGATGTTTAAAACTATTATCTTAGTAATTTATTTTTTTCTAAAAAATAAGAAACAGATTTGTACTTAAAATATTTACTATAAGGATTGACACTGGTGCTTGTTCTTGGGCCATTTATCGGATAATCAAGCATCATGACCTTGGGGAACAAACAAGGTAGCCTGCCAGAGTATTCCACAATCAAAAAGAGTTGATTTGCTTTCATCAGATTTTGCCCATTAAAGAGATTTATAGATTTCATAATCTTAAATAGCATAAAAAATTCCAATACTTAGTAATGAGATAGATCAAGACTATGACACTCATCTGAACACACAGATGTTTGCTGGTAAAAATGAATCAAAATTTTTTTTTTTTCTTTTTTTCAGTTCACAGACAAGATGCTAATTTACAAATGGGAATGTTTCCTACCTGCTTATATTTCTATTACAGTAAGTGTTTTATTTTGTTATATAATAACTAGAATATTTTTGCCAAAAAGTAAACACAATCAGTCTCTTCAAAGTAAAAGTGAAGTTTTGACAGTGAGTGCAAAAGTAACGATTTGTTGGAAAAAAGTTGTGTTATACAGAATTTCAAATACATAAGTCTAGAAACTTTTCTAATACTTTGTAATGTTTTGGAAAAAATTCAAGCATATCACTTATTAAAAGGTACATAAAGTTAAATTTAAAAAGCACACAAACTAACCTTAGTTTTTGGGATTTCCTAAATTGTTTTAAAATAATCTAAAAGAAAATGTTAAGTGGGCTTTTAAAGTATATTACATAAAAATATTTAACCCATTACTGTGCAAGAACAACTGACTGAAATAAATGAGGATTTAAATTTTCTAGTAAAATATCTGTAGATATTTGTATAGTTATTGGTTGGGATTTAGAAAAAGTGGTGTGATCCTTTAAAGTTTCCCTCTTTATGAAGCTCTAAGATAGATTTTGTACATTTTCAAAGTATAAAAATAATTATTTAGAAATTTCTAAATTATCTTAAATGCCTAACAACAGCAACAAATCTAAAAGAATTTCAGGAAGACACTAATAATAATTAACACGTCTAGGTATCCTTAGTTTCTACTTTGGAAATATCACTTTGATGCTCTCAGTCTATTATTTTATTACTATTTATGGTTTGGTTTTTTTTTTTTGTATTTATAAACCACACTATTATAAAGTTGTATATTACTTTAAAAACCCGTCAATATGCATGGCACTAAGCTAATATATGATGTAAATTTACACTAAATAATCTAGTTTTCTTATGAGATTTATGTGTAAATCTTGTATCTTTTTTATCCTAACAGTTCCTAGAGTGGACAGTTTAGAAAAATAGAAATATGTTTAGAAAAATAGAAAATTTTCTCCTGGGTGCAGCTGGTCATGCCTTGTAAACCCAACAGTTTGGGAGGCTGAGGTGGAAAATCATTTGAGTCCAGGAGTTCGAGACCAGCCTGAGCAACACACTGAGACCCCGTTTCTAAAAACAAAGCAAAACAAAACAACAAACAAAAGAATTAGCTGGGCATTGTGGCACACATCTGTAATCCCATCTACTTGGGAGGCTGAGGTGAGATGATTGCTTGAGCAGTGAGGTTGCAGTGAGCAGAGATTGCACCACTGCACTCCAGCCTGGGTGACAGAGCAAGATCTTGTCTCAAAAAGAATTTTTTTTTAGAGAAAGGAAAATAGAAGATATTGGAAAGCCAATTAGGATGAAAATACTTGTTTATATTTCTCCAATAATCCTCCCACCTTTTGGGGTATATTGTTTTTCTCTCAGTTATAAACTCTGCTGGGGAATCTTATACTGTTGAATTAATCTGTAGTATGTTTGTTTATAGGGAGTGAAAAAGACGTAGGCATTCAATCAGGGTTGTATCAATGTATTTTATGAAATGACTAGAGTTTAAAAAGAAGATTAGCCAATGATTTTCTGCTGAAAATAGGTAGAAATTTGTCTAATTCATACTAGATGACTTTATAGATAGTCTCTAACTCCTTGTTCTCAAACATTGACATTCTGTTTGTCTTAGTAACCAGCTCCTCTTTTATTTGTGTTTAGTTTCAGTAATTGTGCTTGTATCTTCTTGTAAAACAAATCTCATTTGATTACTAGACCAAATCAGCCTATTTGTGTACAGAACCCCAAGGGACTAGAATTTAATCCCATGAGTACTTAACATTCTTGTGAGTCAGGAGCAAAGCTAAAGTAAATTGATGATCAGAGGCACCAATGCCTAAATTTGTGGGTAGAGTTGACAGATACACTCTTCGTTCTATTAAAAGCTTGTAGACACATTTTTCCCCAATAACCTCCAAGAGGGAACACAATTTAAAATGCCAATAGAAGCATTTTGAACCATTAGAAAGAATGAATTTATGATTTATATTAATTCTTGAAAATCATAAATTTAAATGAATGATGCTCAGTTGGAATTTCTACTTCTTTGGCTTACTGTGATACAAAAAGACAATATCATTGTCTCTATGGCCTCTTCACTGCACAGTCTCATTTGTGTGCTTTTGAGTTTTCTTTCTCAAATTCTCCAGCTATTGTCTGTAACAGCACAAGTTGTCTTATTAGCAAATCTTCACTTGCAGTTTTATATTGTGCTTGGATTTTTCTGTAGGTCTACATTCATATTTATTCAATCTGTTTTCTCTCTCGAATTAGCAAAAAAGTCAGAACCATTGATGGCCCAGTAGAAACAGCATTGTAGAGTTGGCATTTACTACCCATAAGGAAAGGAACCAAAGTAAACAGTGACCATAAATTCAAATAGGCCAAAGTAAGCAAAAGCAAAGCCAGAATAAGCCAGTAAGAGGTAAAGTCAGGATAATAGGAAACCTATGTATGGGAAGAGCTAAAATAGATGAAAGGAGGTAAGTTTGGAAGCATTCCATGAGCTTACAGGCAATTAAGTCTAGAATAATTTTATGCCATATCTATAAACAATGTTTGATGTAATGAAACCAATTCAGGGAAGTTTAATATTTATTTTAAATTGGATTTCATAATACTCTTGAGAATTGCTTTTTAAAATCAGGTTGGAAGTCAAAGACGGTTCCTTTTGTTTACATATATTTTAAATTATATACAATCATTAATATGTTAATATATAACATGCTGTTACCTGCTTCAGCTATTTCCCAGAAGTACATACAGGTGTTTAGTGGTAGGGCTACTCCTCTTCACAGTTAATTGAATTGTAGTAGCTTTGTGCAATTCCAAATGCTCCTTTGTTCTCTTGGGATTGGTTTGCTGTGGCATTGCTAGGTGGATATAAAAATAGCCTCTTGTCTTTCCGATTTTAAATGTCTGTGGGCTTTCCCTTCCACCGTTTAGTAATTAATGTCTCAGGGTAGTGTTAACTGTAATTTCAAACCACAGGAATATATTGGTTAATGCCGTAAGGGCTGCATCCTTTTCCAGGTATCCTACCCAGAATTTGGGATTTATGTGATTCTACTTTGAATTCCCGGATCTATACCTCAGTCCTGAATCTCCTGAACTAGATTTTCCTAGGACTCTGTATTTGGCTGGTAATTTGATTTTTATGATTACACCAGTTTAACTTTAGGACTGCCAACTGCTTTCCCAAGGGTCTCAGCTTGTCTGATTTTCTACTGTATTAACAAGTATGATGGCAATGACAAATGGCTGAATTCCCAAATGAACTAGCATAAGCAAAATTAAAGAGAAGTAGTGTTTCCATAGCTGGAGCTTTCATCCACACCCCTGAACCCCACTTCTGCCTTCCCAGGTTTTCATTTTTCTCTGTAGTTCTTTGGTTACATCTTGCAGATAGGGTTTCTTTACTTTGGGGTAAAGTTGAGTATTGTCAGCATCGCATTCAAGTTTGCCCATTCAGGATCTTAGGAGGAAGCAGAAGAAAGCTGCTCTCCAACAGCACCTAAAAATTGATTCCAGTAGAGGACTGTGGCTTCTGGGTCATGCGATCACAGATGGGCTATTTACTGAATCTGAAAAGTCTGACTTATGTAAACATTCCTGTTGTAACAAGATAAGACTGCTGATATCAGAAGATGGATATGGGAGAACTTTTCAAGCAAATAAAAACCAGTATGCTTATCTGTCCCTAGAATATTTTTTTCTTTCTAAATTGTATTATTGAATAACATATTCCCCTAGGTTTCATGATTTTTCTACCTCTGCTTAAGTGACTGGTCATAATGTACCAATCTTTTTCTGGGGGCTAAATCAATAATCAGAGAACTGCATCTAGGATGTCACTGAAAAATTAGTAGAATGAAAATTTTAACACCTGAGTCCCAGTACCAATTTGTTAGAAACTCAATATAAGACCTTGGACAAGTCACCTGAGCTGTTTATGAGTCAGTTTTTTCACCTTTAAAATAGTGGTAATAAAGTTACTATCCTTAGAGTCAATTTGAGGGCTAACTTAGATAATACATATTAATCTTTTAGAATAGTTATTGACATATAGTATAATTATATAAGTATTAGTTATAATAATAATATTGTAATGATTAATATCTATAGGACTATGTTTTCATATCTGTAAAATTAGGGATATACTTTAGATGAGAGTCTTACAAAAGCCTATATGACTCCATTAGTTTTCACATGGCTATAAAGATCTTCCCTGAGACTGGGTAACTTATAAAGAGAAGAGGTTTAATTGACTCACAGTTATGCATGCCTGGGGATGCCTCAGGAAAGTTACAATTATGGCAGAAGGGGAAGAAGGCATGTCTTACACGGTAGCAGGCGAGAGAGTGTGTAAAGGAGGAACTGTCAAACACTTATAAAACCATCAGATCTCATGAGAACTCACTCACTATCATGAAAACAGTATGCGGGAACTGCCCCCATGATCCAATCATTTCCCACCAGGGCCTTCCCTTAACATATGGGGATTATGGAGATTACAATTCAAGATGAGATTTTGGTGTGGACATAGAGCCAAACCATATCATTCCACCAGGCCCCTTCCAAATCTCACATTCTTTTTACATTTCAAAACCAATCATGCTTTCCCAACAGTCCCTCAAAGTCATAACTCATTCTAGCACTAACCCAAAAGTCCAAGTCCAAAGTTTCATCTGATATAAGGCAGGTCCATTCCACCTAGGAGCCCATAAAATCGAAAGCAAGCAAATTACTTCTTAGATACAATGGGAATACAGGCATTGGGAAAATGCTCCCATTCCAAATGGGAGAAACTGAACTGGTCAAAACAAAGGGACTACAGGTCCCAGGAGGTCTAAAATCTAGCAGAATAGTCATTAAATTTTAAAGCTCTGAAATAATCTCCTTAGACTCTATATCTCATATTCAGGGCACACTGATACAAGAGGTGGGCTTCCACGGCATGGGCAGCTCCATCCTTGTGACTTTGCAGGCCACACACCCCTTTCCCCACTGGCTGCTTTCATGTTCAGTGTTTAGT